CATTGTCAATAAGGTAACCCTCACCGACAACTGTGACATTAGTAAAGCAGTACTTCATTGTCAATGCATGAAGTTTCTTTTTTCCCCCCCTTGAAATTTTGATTGTGCTTAACTATTTCACTTAATTAGTCACTATTTAGCCAGTGTGGCTATGCCCTCCCCATTCCTAATTTCTAATGGCTTATTGGTTAGTGATTAAAATTTCTAATGGCTTATTCGTTAGTGGTTTTCCAGAGTTTTACACACTAGAAATTTAACTCTTTTTTAAAAAGAAATTTAACTCTTATAGAATTTTTTGAAAAGGACTTATGTTTTGTTACATTGTTTACACTTTATTAGTTGGTTTTGAGTGGGTAAAATAATCAAGAAAAGAAGCCAGCTGGATATGGAATATGACTAATAGCTTTTTGTCATCAAGATAGATGCAGATCACTTGGTCAAAGAGTGCAATTAAATCCTTCTCATTGATGAAACTTCATTAGCAGTGTCACTATAACCATTATTATTATACTTTTGTTTTATTTTTCCGTTCTAAAAATTATGACGGATATTTTAAAATTACTGATTCACACAAGTAACCAGTGCCCATTAGACTATCTTTCTTTAATTAAAAAAATGATCTTCATACTCTGATAGTTTGGAAAACCCTGCTCAAGGAGCCAATAACATTTTAGTCATCATGACTAGATGAGTATTTCAGAAACATTAGCTTCTTCGCTTCAAATATCACTTATGTTACTGTTTTAATCATGGCATGTCTTTAAAAATTAAGTTTTCCTTTATTGCCACAATAATTTCAACTGACCTATTTACCTAGCAGTCTGTATAATGCCAGAGATTGTAAATTTGACAGACAAAAAGATTGGCGGGGGGTGGGGGGGGTGGGGGTGTAAGAAATATGTACCATATCAAATTCTGAATACCAGTGCTTTAAGTTTTAACTTAAGTTGTAATTAGATCTCATTTTAGCACTAGATGAATTAGTACTGCATTATTGCTATAAGCCCTCTACTTCTGAAAGGGAGTGCCTTAACATAAATAAAGCCCCTCCTCTAGAAGCACTGATAAGACCTTTGAGAAATATGAACTTTTCTGATGAATTATTAACATGGTGCCATGTAAGCCAATCTGTATATCACGGTATATCAGAAAACTATACATTTTTCAGTACCGAAAAAGATAGGATCTTTGCTAAATACTGTATCTGATGAGATGTAAAATAACCTAATAATAGAAATTTTCTTAAATGATTTTAGTAAATTATTAAGTGGTCTTGACATAAGGTAAAATCTTATTTAATGAAGAATGAATTTGAAGGGGGCTTATGAGGTTGGGAATCTGTACACTCTACACACTTCCCTAAATGTTAGTCATTTAAGACAATCATACTTGGGCCACAAAATAGTTATTGCTTTTTGCAACATTGTTGCTCATTGCTACTCAGTACTATTAGTTGCCACTTCATTTTAAGTCTCCTCAATAATGATAGATCTAACACCAAGAGAGTAAAATATTATAATAATTATGGATTATAAGCATACAGTATTCATGAAATGTCCCACATTTCATAGATTTTGGTTATTTTATAATTTCAGGACACACTGGGCCTTTACGAATTTATGAGAGAAATCACAGCATTTCAAAGCCCTTCATGTAGGGTCTGATTATTGGAGCCCACAGTGGCTATCCTGGGGAATCACTTAACATATTGGGAGGTGATGATTTTGTTCTTTACCATACTGGCCTTGTTAACCAATTAATACCTGCTTAAAATAACATTTGGAGTAGAGTGGGGGAAAGGAAAGCCTTAAACTTAGCAGTGAATTTATTTTTACAGCTCAAGTAGCTACTTTCACCCAAGTTGCATTAGTGAGTATCAGATTTTATGTTGTCTTTTGGGTAGGGCACCGTGACAAAAATCAACTTTTTTTTTTTACTCCAAAGTTACTGTGTGGTAGGAAAGAACTGTCATAGTATCCCAAGTTCACATGCAGTCCCATTTTCATGTTTTCCCTTTTCATTATTAGCTACATATGGAGAGAAAGACAGAAAACATACTAGGGTTTAAAAAACAGTTATGAAGTGAACACTTAGGTAAATCCCACCAGATCAAGACAAATGACCACCCATCTTCAACATCACAGCTGTGCACCTCCCAGATCACAACTTTCTGTGGATAGCTGCTATCGTTGTCATTTGGGGGGTACTTTTCTGTGAGGTAATCACTTCCATTCATAGCCTAAACCAACCTAATTCAGGTTTGCCTGTTTTTGAATGTATATGGTGAATTCTTATGTGTTTGGCTTCTTTCGTTCAGCATTTTTGTTTGTGAGATACCTGTTCTTGCTGTCCAGCACATTTTAAAAACTCCTTTTTGTTGTTGTTAAAATATTTATTTGCCTCTTTCCCCTTGTAACTTAAGATCTCTACCTATATAAAAGGCTGTGGAATCTTTCTACCTTGCCTTCTTGGGCTTTCTACTAAATAGGTCTGAAGGAAGTCTGGACCCCAGTTTGGTGTTTGTTTCTGAGACTACATCTTTAAGGCTTTTGTGCTCAGTTAAAAATCGTTCTTGCTCTCAGGCTAGTCCAAGGGTCTAGTCACGTGGTTTCAATAGTGACATCACATTCTACTGCCGGGAAAACACTGGTGGTTCTGTAGGTGGCATTTGTTCCTGTGAAAGGCAGAGACGGCAGCAAGTGCCCTTCTAAAGCAATTCACACCAGGTCTCCTGTAAATGCCCTTCAACCTAAATGACCAACCAGGAACTGCCTAGGTTATTTCTTCCCTGAAGCAGAAAAAAAGAATCCCCTGTTTGAAGGTAAGCAGACTTTAGCTGGACCCAGGCGGAAAGCATGGCCCCAGGGAAAGGGGGATCTGGATCATCACAAGTAGCATGCTGTAAGATTCTAATCACTGCCTGCCCTTGGAGAGCTGCCTGACAATTGCTGTTTAGAAAGAACTGTGGACTAACTACAAAGAAGGATGATGCAGTGCTCATGTTACCTAGTAATAGAATTCTTTTTTTCTTGTTAGGAATCTGTTTCAGAGCTAGGGGACTCAGTTGATAATATTGTGTAACATTTGATACCTATCTGATGCTTTTAAACATCCGTTGCACCAAGTTTTTGTTTTTTTTGCCTCTCCCCTATCCCACCCAAAAGATAAATCTTAAGTCAGAACTAATTTACCTGATACATTGATCTGCTTTTTATAGTAAATTCCTGGTAGTGTGGTGCCTATGTTCATGTCAGCATTTGAGTTGAAAATGGAAACTGTTCTTTTTCTCCTCCCATACTTCAGTCCTCTTTGTGCCTTCCTTTCCTAGCTGCCTTTTCCCCTCCCAGTTCTCAGCAACGCACCAGCATTAACCTTTAACAGCATGACACTGACCTGATAAGAAATGCATGCGGGGTTGGTGATTCAGCAGCTAACCATTTTACAGCCAGGTACGCTTGAAGATACGGAAAGGACTTTGGCTTGGAGTTTTAAGATTAACTTATTCGTCTCCTCTCCATACCCCACTCCCACTCCCAGTATGATTTAGATTCTGCAGAACTTTTCCTTTCAAATTTGTATGTTACTGTGCTGACTTGGGTATTCAGAAAACTTACACTTTGTAAGTCAGGTACACTGTGGGGTAATAACTCAAACATTCCCGATGAGATTGTCAAAGTGGTCTGTTACGAGTGGAGAGTTGAAGATGGAGTTGCAGATGGGAAGGAGGGAGGGTCAGTCTTGGCCTTTGGCTTTGTCTTTCTCAGAAGAGGAATTCATTGCCAAACAGTCTGGATGAAGCTTTGCCCTGCCAAGGTTGGTGCTGCAAATGTCAGCTTTGGCTGGTTTGAATTAAATGATGGCATTACACTGCATTTTCCCCTAGTGTGTATTTGCATAAATTCCTCAAGACATTTTGTATTTGATAGCAAAATATTGCTCCATCAGGCACCGTTGCAGAATTATTTGGAGCAGGTTTGTTAAGCAATACTAACCTTGTGTGCATGCAACTTCTGAGTTCAATTATATCCCCTGGTCCTCATCATTCATCAAACACATTTGCTTTAGCAGCTATTTCTGAGTCTTAGATATGTGCTTGACTCTTTGGAGAAGGTAATGATGAATCAGACACAGGGCTTGCTTTCAAAGAATGTATAGTCCAGAAAGGAAGCTAAGGATTATACTTATAAAAATAAAAGTACTAAAAGTGACATGGATAAAGCCCTAAGATGGTTGGAATAATGGAATAGTACTTCCAGTTGAAAGACCACTGAGGCATGAGAGAATTTACGCAAGCCCAGTGTAGATCAGAGATCGATCAAAAGCTTACACTTATTGAAGTCCCCTTACTCTTGAGGAGGTAGGCATACTTTCTTTGGAGTCCCCAATCAGGTTAAATTTGCCTCATAGGATTGAATTACTGCTTTATGAATGTAAAATGGTTCCTGATGTAATGTCTGCAAAAACCTCTGGACCTTTGTTTCTCTTCCATAAGAGAAACTAAAACATCTTTAGTTTTCCAGACTCCTGTCTTTCATTTTGCACAGCAACTCCTGTCACTTCTCTTTTCACTTTCAATCTCATCTGCCCCTTGCTAGTTGCACTGCCTTAAGACACTGATCATTTTGTGCCTAGACCACATAAAACTATTATAAAGTGATGGATGTTCCTACCAGCATACCCTGAGTGTACGTACTCATCTGATAGTTGAAGGGCTCACCTTTCAGTGCTTAGAAGTATTAAGAACATTACTTAGCTTAGGCAGTGGTTCTCAACCTTCCTAATGCTGTGACCCTTTAATACAGTTCCTCATATTGTGGTGACCCCCCCCAACCATGAAATTATTTTCGTTGCTGCTTCATAACTGTAATTTTATAAATCAGGCGACCCCTGTTTAAACCACCGAAGGGTTTTTAAACCACCGAAGGGGTCACGACCCACACGTTGAGAACTACTGGCTTAGAGTGTATGAAGTACTAACATATGTTTCTTATTCAAAACAGAGGACAGATCATACAATGGTGCAGGAATAGGTTCGGGAAATAGGATGATGGACTTCTTAGAAGAGCCAATCCCAGGTGTGGGAACATATGATGATTTCAATACAATCGACTGGGTGAGAGAAAAGTCCCGTGACCGGGATAGGCATCGAGAGGTAAGATTAAAAATGATACATGAGAAAATGTTAGGAAACACCAGTCGATGATACATGTTTTTTCATATTCTTTTCTTCCTTCAGGCCTGGATGCAGCTGATTCGGGGTTTTATTGGTCATACAGGATTTAATTTTAAATTTATTTTTAAAGCATTTTGTGTATGAGTTTTATTATAAGATTTCTGTATATGATTTCATAATGATTTATTTTCTTTTAGGACAGACTAGAATTGATCCTTATTGAGTAGTTGAAAAAGGATACTTACCCCTGAAATGAGTGCAAATGCCTGTGTACATATGTGAAAATTTGGTAGGGATTCAAATAGTAAAAATATTTCATAATATTGTTGATAATAGATTAATATAATTATATAATTTATTATAAAATTAGTGTATACTATAAATGAATATTATT